TCTCTGCTTCTCACCATGGTTCTGAGAGAAGGGCTAACTGGGGAACAAGACAGAAGTGTTGGGGCAGTGAGAGGGTTCACCAGAGACAGGTTGGGGAGCAGAATAGGCAGACTGAGGAAGTACACTGCTGAGGGGAGCAGCAGGAGAGACAGGAGAGGTTTGCTGCATGGGGTGGATCATGGATAGCTTTCTAGCACAGTGCTTCAACCTCTTGTGACACCAGAGAGAGCTCTACTTTTTTGTTTCTGATGGTTGTAATCCCAGGCAGCAAAAGTGCCACATACAGAGTAGACATTCAAAATATTTAAATGTAATAAGATTATATAAATCACTCTGACAGCTACCTTGTGAATAAACTGCAAGAGGTTAAAGAGTGGGATCAGAAAGATTCACTAGGAAGTCACCGCAATTAGCCACAAAATCAAGAAGGTGCCATTTGGAATGATGAGCAATGATCAAGGTCTAAAAATAAAATGAGAAAACCAGCAGGACTTATTTAAATCAAGTACTTCTAAAGTTTTGGGCCTGAGCAAACAAGATAGAGCTGTCAATGACTAAGAAAGAAGGCAGTTAGGAAGATCAGAATTAGGGTGTGGAACATCAGCTCCGTTTGGACTATGTAATGCTGAAGTAATATATAGAGCAGTTCTCCTTTCGTAGATAGTAGACCAGAAATATGTTCACTCTTGCCCAATAGGATTCTCTTTGGAGCCTTATTATTTTCCCACATTTAATGAAAAAATAAAATAATTGCATCAGTGTTTCTTAGCTATAAGGATTATTAACTATATCATTTAATAGATGTAAATGAAGGGTTTTACGTGAAACAGAAATGTTGAAAGTGTCATTTAATATCACAGAATAGGCCCTCCCTTGTGGCGCAGCGGGTTAAAGCACAGCACTGAGAAGCTAAAGCCACTTCCGCTTGAGTTCGATTCCCGCCTGCCCCGAAGGTGACCACATGGCGCGGCAGACCTCTCCTGACCCACCCGCTGCTCCCCTCAGCAGTGTACTTCGTTGATCTGCCTATCCTGTTCCCCACTCTGTCTCTGGTGAAGCCTCTCATCCTCCGCATCTCTGGCCTGTACCCCAGTTCTATATGAATAAATAAATAAATCTTTAAAAAAAAATCACAGAATAAAAGGTGGTTTAGAACATGAAGGCAAATGAAGCTGATTTATGTTGAAATCTAGATAACATAAGCAATCAAAAGTACTCTGTCCCCATGCATTAGCATGGCAACTACAGCAGGGTTTTAGCTGAAGTTTACGAGACACCAAAAGGTAGGTCTGTTCCAAACAATTATAAAGAAAGGAAAACTTTATATAGAAGAACTATTTAATGCCACTTTCCATGGGTCTATTTTTATCTTTCTAGGCAATCAGTCTTTAACGATGAGAAATCAGAAGCAAATTATTAAAGGATAAGGTAGTAATTTAGGATCTCATTAAGTCAATCCTGTACACAAAATGTTTATTCTTATTTTATACCCAATCACTGAGGAAACGTACTCTATGACGCTGTAGTTACTTAAAACAATAAGAAGTTACATGTGGACGATAAGTCAATGAAACTAACAGAGAGCTTTCCATAGGCGTGGTCTGTTTTCAGCACTTCATAAGGGTTGTCCTGTACTTTGAACAATGTGCTTGCCGCTTGCATGTTGCAATTGGGTTACAACCCAGGAGCCTCCAGCAGCGATTCTGGATGTGGTCCTCACAAAGCACCTTGGATGCCTGAACATCCTCCAGAGAGGGCAACGAAGGCTTTGGGCGGTGACCCATCCTGCCACGTGTGCCTCTGTGCTGGCCCAGTGAGCCGACGCCACAGAGGGCGACACACCCCTCTGGACTTAAGCGGGGAAGGGGGTGGGGGGCGTGGTACAGAAGGACCAAGCCAGCAGAGAGTGTGGTGCTAGGGGTGGGGGGATACTGGTTCACGCAGCCCTTCCCCCTTTGCGCACTCAGGTCAGTCTCTGCTTCTCACCATGGTTCTGAGAGAAGGGCTGAGATGGTTATGGATCTTAGGTCTCTGCCTCGTAGCCAGTAATTCTCTCAGCCTCCCATCCATCAGAGACCGGGAGTTTATACAACAGTGTGTTGACATTCACAACGAAATGCGGGGCAAAGTCTCGCCCCCAGCAGCCGACATGAAGCACATGGTGAGTAAAAACCCAGCTCGGGTCTTAGATCTGTGGTTCTTCCTAAGGTCTCTGGATGGTGAACTACTTGGACTTGTCAATTTGGCCTGTACATTCCGCAGGCTGTTCAATCACACCTTGGCTGGGCTGTCTCCAGAGTCGTGATAGGAGTGGACGAGAAAGGAAAACTCGAAGTTGTTCCTTACCTACACCCAGCTACCTTTTGATTTGGGGGAGGACATGGATGGAGAGGACAGGGTGGGGAAGAGAGTAAGAGGAGGAGAACAGCAAGAGTGGGAGTTGTTTGGTCTGCATCCCTAAGGCACCTTTAAAATTCCTGTAAATTCCTCTCCCTCATATTTTGCCTAGCACTTCCTAGGTGCACAACCAATATACTATATATTAAATAAACAACACAGGGATGGTTCTTGTTCTTTCTTAGTTTTCTTGTTCTTATTTTTTAATTCTATGAACTTACAGTTGAAATAACAGCCTTGTAATGGTATTTATTTGGGGGGAAATGCTCTACAAGGATGTAAATAATGAAGTCAGCGCTTGAAAAATATCAGAATGTCACTTTTATGAAACGTAAAAAATATGGAAATTTAACTCCAAGAAACTTTCAACTGAATTTGTATTTTATAAGCCTCCATCATATATATAATAAGGCAAAAATAATACTACTTTATTGAAGTAACAAAGAACATAGGATAATTAATATCATTCATAAAATGTACATACTTTAAACAAATTCTTGACTATGAATTTATTGCTAGGAATTTCTCTTGCATTATAATATTTTCTTTCATGTAAATTTGATACAAAGAAATCATAAGTCTTATTTCTTCAAATGCAAAGATAAACCTGCTTCTGTTACTCTAGAGCTGAAAAGCTAAATAAATGTTGGCTAAATCTTCAATAGCAGCTTCTCCTGTCTTTCACTACTGAATCATACAGAAAAACCAGGCACTTCATTCCATAATAACATTCTTCATTTCTACAGGCTAGTGATAGACTATGTTGTGTTAATAAATAAACTCTAAAATATTTTTCTTTTTTATTAACATATAGCATTGTATTAGTTGAAAGTATACAGAATAATAATTTGTTATATGCATGTACTGTGAGATGATTATCACCATTAATTTAGTTGTTAGTATCTACCCTCCTCACACAGATCCACTTATTCTTCTAGTGAGAAGAATTTTTAAGATTTAATCTCTCAGCAAGTTTCAAATATACAGTACAATATAGCTAACTATAATCATACTTTACATCTGTACTTGTCATTCTCTAAACTCATTTATCTTATAACTAGAAAACTGTAACTTTTGACCACTTTGACCCAATTTATCCATCCCACCTGCACCCCAAGCCCCATCTCCAACAGCATTCAATCTGCTTCCTCTTTCCGTTATTAAGGCTCATTTTTTAGATTTCAAGTGTAAGTGAAATCATACATTTGTCTCACTTAGCATTTGTAAAAGGCAAAAGACTTATGGGATCTGAAGAGAAGCCAGAGTAACACTTAGCATTTGTTTGCCTTAGCCTAGGTTTACTTTCTCACTCTCACAAAGCCCAATACAAGCCAGGCCCATCCATGTTATCTCTTCCCCATGCGGTGTCTTTCCTGTTTATACCTTGTGTCCATCATGCCTTTTCATGTTCTTCAGGGTCAACTTTGAGACTAGAGGATTGCACAACGGGTTTTCTTCAAAGTTTTCACAGTTCAGGGTCTTCTTAACTCTGAAAAGTACTCCTATATAATGTCAACAATAATATTCATAAATCTGTTTACCATTCAGTTCAAGATGCCTTTGGTTTAAGAACATGTGACAAAAGATGCACATGTCCAGCCTGTGGGTCACCCTGAACCTGTGCTGAGAATGGTGAATTGAGGGGAGCAGCAGGGTGGGCAGAAGAGAAAGAGAGAGAGATGAATTCCTCCTGTCTAGGTCTCGGGGTCACAGGATTTCACATTTTTATTATGCTGTACCCCTCTTCCAGCAGTAAGTTTTATAAGGTCCCAGTCTAAGCAGTGGTAGAAAATAAACAGTGAAATGCCAGTGACTTAACAAAAAAAAAGTTTCATTAATTTGTTCAGGTGCACAGAAGATGAATTTAGGATTCAACTTCTGCCGTGACCAGGGGACCTCCTAACCCTAGCTAGTTTATTGACAGGCAATAACAAAAGCTCTCCATATGAAGCATGAGGGGGTATCTAATGATGCTCTTGCTATTCTATTGTAAGATGGTTTTCATCTTTTTATTTTCTTGTCATCTCTTCACCACATATCATTGAATATTACTTTTATATAAAATTTCTGTCTTAACTGAGAATACTTGTTATGCCAGAAGTGACTTAGAGTACTACAAATTAAATTTTGAGGTAAATGTTCACAAGGTGGTAGAGAAATTAGAACAGGGGTTGGTGAGAATGTTAATTGTGCTGCAGACATGGGAAATGGTGTAGCAATGATTCAAGAAATTCAAAAATATAACAACTGTAAAAAAAATTGTATATGTACCAAAAAAATGAATAAAACCAAAAAGATACAAGGAAATTCTTGAAAGGTATTTTTATATTTATTACCTTGATTGTGGCATCCTGAGTGTATATGTCCAAACTCATCAATCATACACATTGCATATGTATACTTCTTTCTGGAACAAATCCTTTTTAAGTATCATTTTGGTATAGTTTTTTCAATTTAAAGACTTTAAATTAATTCACTTTTACATCACTTGGAACAGAAATGTGTGTGTGTATGCATGTATATATGTATCCATCATTCACCAATAAATGCTTAATACTTTAAATTTGGAATTATCCTATGCACAAAAACTTGAAAATCAACTTGAAAAAGTGCAAAGCATTCATTTGTCTTTACAACTGAAAATATAACATAAGTATCATTTCTGTTATAAGCATTATTTTTCATCCTTTTTAGCAATTTTTGAAGACTGACTACTATACTGCTTTTATTGCTCTTCATTTCATGTTATCCATATACAGTATAAATTCATCAGTAGCCTGCTGACAGCCCAATATCCTCCTACCCTCAACTTTAGGCACAATCTTATGTTTTTTGCCACAAAACAAGCAGAAGCATTATGATTATATGAGCACATTCTGAAAAAGATAGTGTGGGAAATCTCCATCAGATGAAAATATAATTATCTTTGGTTTTAATTTATATTTTGAAAAGTTTCTTGGTAGGTTTCCTTCTTCCTCCTTGTGCAGAGAACCTTCAGTTATGTGAATGTAATTCATCACATGAGAGTTTATGATTAGAAGACTTTGCTGAAATTTAAATTAGTCATATAAACACATCAAATTCTTCTGTCTACAAGTTGAGGGAAAACATTGCACAATAAAAATTTCCCCCTATGTCAGAGACTTAATAGCAATTAATTTTAGTAGAAAACATTGCCAGATCTAAATGGTCATTGAAATATTTTTCTGAAAAGATTTTGAATTATATTATTTGATCAGGAAAAAAATTAGCTTTAATTGTAGAGTCCTTGGGAATTCTAAAATACAAATACATGCTTTTAGCTATCTGCACAGCTAAATCATTATAATTTGTGCATAGTATGTGTTTGAACTAATTTGAAATACATATTATGCCCTAGCCATCAGATATTAATTTCTACTGCTTTGAGGTTATAATGTTTACTATTTAGGTATTAAGACTCTCAATTGAAATAGTAAGAGTAGTTTTCTCCTGTGCTATACTTAGCATAGGGAAGGAGCTAGCATAAATTATCCTATGTTAGAACTATATTTTAATTAATTTTTTTTAAAGCAGAGAGAAGTCCAAATAACTTAGGCAAAACCTAGAACATTCATTGCCATCAGAGGGGACTTTTCTAAATTCTATACATAAACTAAGGTGTCTTAGAGAAAGGAAAGAACTATATAAAAGCTAATACTAGGAATGTAAGTGAAAAGGCCTGGCTTAAGAACACTTATTTGCTGTTGTTATTTTGTTTGTTTATCTCTGGAATAGTATTTTTCTTATAGTAACTTTGAGAAAAAGTGGAAGTTCTGTCTTTGTGTCTTTACCCATTCCAAGTATATGTAGTTCCTGGTGGAGGGTAGAATATGAGAATAATCAGTCTATTCATTATTCAGAAAAGTAATAAAGAGTGCCATTCTCTGGAAGCTGCTGAATTCTCTCTTGACTACAGTAAACAAACTTTGATACAACTACTTTTATTGTGTGAAGGAAAATGAGTGGTTAAAATATCAAAAGAAAGAACATAGGAAATGAACCAATGAAGTCAGTAGTATGAATTTCAATCTACAATCTTAAAATGGAAATAAGAGAGCATTTCTTTATTTTCATGAAGTCAACATCAGTGTCATTTTTAGTCCACTTATTGACCAGGGTTTGAAAATGTGATTTTTAACCACTATTTCCCCCCAATAGTATGCAACAAAGCTGGATCTGTATTTCAAAAGACAGGAGAAGCATCTTTAGGGGAATCAAGTCAATAATCACCATTCTCTTGCCCAAACTAGTCAACACTGGGATGTCAGTGAAAACTTCTTTCCAGGTTTGGATATGCTACTATTTTAATGTCACTTCCTCTGGCACAGAAATCTTGGTGTAATCTGGAAGAATCATGTTAAATATCCTATTGTATTTGTCCACCATCACACTACCTCTCTTAAATCTTGGATGCTCAAGGTGTTGGCTGTGATATCAATAAGTAGACTTTACTTTTAGCTATCTCAGCTGTCTGTTAGGCCAAAATTCTGTTAGGAGTAACTTTTATATCTCTTGTGAAGATAAGAATGGAAAATATAATGTGCAAAATACTTAAGCATCATGTTGCTGACAACATGTTGTAGCTCCATTTGCCCGCTCTTTCATGTTAGGTACAGCTCAAAAATTTTAAATAATATACATAAAACAAATATGAGAAGACTTAAAGTTGGAGAATATAATTTTAAAAAATCACTAATACCAAGAACCAGAAAAATCTCAGTGTACTTAAGACAATTGCCAACATCCCAATAACACTGATCTTAGAATGATTGCACATGAATTTTGAAGTAGTCATCATAAGAATTCTACAAAGGGCCCTTCTTGGTGGCTCAAGTGGTTAAAGCTATCTACAGCTGCTTCAGTACAAGTTTGATCCCTGGCCCTCCGGCAGGTGACCCACATGGCGCAGCAGACATCTCCTGTTCTACCTGCTGTCCTCCCCAGCAGTGTACTTTGTCAATCTGCATCTTCTGCTCCCTACTCTGTCTCTGGTGAAAGCCTCTCACCACCCCTGCACCTCTGGCCTGTACCCCAGTTCTGTACGCATAAATAAATCTTTAAAAAATAAAAAGAATACTACAAAAACCAAGCATGAAAATCCTGGAAAACTAGTAAAACAGAGAGTATCAGCAAGGAAATGCAATTTATAAAGAATTTTAAACAGAAATTTTACAACTGAGTAATAACCAAATTTTAAAGCTCAGTGGTTAGGTTCACTGGCAGAATTAGTATGACAACAGAAAAGAATTAGTAAAATTAAAAATAGAGTATTAGAAGTAGTCAAATCTAAACAAAAGTGAAAGCACACTAGAAAACATATTGAGCAGAATATTAGGGATCCATGAGAAAATTACAAAATATTAAACGTTCATGTCATCAGAGTCCCAGAAGGAATAAGAGAGGACAGAAAAAATATTCCAATTAATAGTGACTGAACTTCCAAATTTGAAGTAAAGACATAAACAAAAGAAATTCATGCCAGAGTACTTCATAATCAACCTTCAACAACCTTAAAATAAAGCAAAACAAACAAACAAAAAAACTGTAAGAACAGATGGAGAGAAACGATGCTTACCTACAGGGGAGAAACAATTTTAATATCATTAAATTTATCTTCTAACTAAACAAAGTGGCACAACAGATAAAATCTCAGTATCAAGGGTCAACTAAGATTTCTACCCAGAGAAACTAAGACAATGAATTCTACCCATGTGAAACCAAGAAATTGCCAATATCAGAACTAAGACAACTTGTCATTTCCCAAATTGCTCTCAAAAACTAGCTAAGGAAAGTTCTTCAACCGGTAAGATAATGCAGCAAGGACACCTGGAACATCAGGGATGAAGGAAGTACAAAACAAAGAGTAAAACTATGGGTGAATATAATAAATTATACTTCTGTTATATATTCCAAGTTATGTTTACCAGTTAATGCAAAAATTACAACATTGTCATCTATGGTTCTTAATATATGTAGAAGAAATATTTAAGGTAATTATATTAAGTGAGGACTACAAATACAAAAAGGAACTCTTATACGTAGAGTGCTACAATGACTATTTCTGAAGCCCAGTTAAAAAGAAAATTACTATGAGCATACTATCTAAGAAAAACTATTTTGTTAAAATAAAATAAAAGTTAATTGACAATAAGTATCATTAATCCAACATAAACACTCACAATTTTAAATTACTTTTATCTTTCAGGTTTGGGAAGTCAAGTTAGCAAAGCTTGCCAAATCATGGGCAGATAAGTGCAAATATGAACACAATGTCTGTTTACCAAAACGATATGGATGCCATCCAGATTTTGACCATGTTGGAGAAAATATCTGGTTAGGTTCATTAAGAATATTTTCACCAAGATCTGCTGTTATTGGTTGGTATAATGAAACCGCTTTTTATAATTTTGATACGTTATCATGTTCCTCACTTTGTAGCCATTATACACAGGTAAATATTTGACATTTTATTAATTAGTTCTTACTTATGTACATTTCAATTGCAATTTCCTTTGACCTACTTTTAGAGATCTAAAAAACTACCTTCATTGAGAAGATATTTTTACTAGGAATAGAACTCTAGCTATAGTGAGTTCTTTTATTTAATATTGAAAATTTTATCCCATTGTCATTTCACTTATATTGTTTAAAATGAAAAATCTACAGCGACTCTTTTATTTATTCCCTTGTATGTGAATTGTCTTTTCAATCTGATGACCTTTAAAATTATTCCTTTATCATCATTCTTGAGTAATTTTGTAATAATGTACTGCAGTTTTTCTCGTGCGTTTTGTTTTTATTTTTGTTTTGTGCTGCAGTTAGCTGAACTGTTTGGAATGGTAGGTCTCTAGTTTAAATCAAATTTGAAAAAATGTTGGCCATTCTTTCATAAAACATTCTCGTTGCTCCCTCTGCTTTCTCTATTCCCAAAGTCCAGTTACCCATGAGGAGGGTCACTTAAAATCTCCAACAGTTGATGGACGCTCTTCTGTGTCTTTAAGTTCATTAACCTTTTCTTCTGCAATTTAAGCTACTGATAATGGCATTTCATTTTTTATGTTAAAGTTTACATCTCTAAAAGTTTTGTTTTCATTTTTTATGTTGTTAATAATTATATTTAGTATGTTTAATCTGTCATCTAGCTTGTAAAGCATATGAGATACAGTTGTAACAGCGATTTTGTCTCTCCTGCTAACTCTAGCGCCTATGTTAGTTCTGGGTTAGTTTCGATGGGTTTATTTTTCCTCTTCATTATGGGCTAAAATTTTCTATCTTATGACATTGGATTTTTCCTTGTTGGGTGTTGGCCTTAATTATATCTAAAAATTTTCTTGAGGTCTTTACTGGTATACAGCTATCTGGAATTTGTCATGAGAACAGCCTTCACAAAATAATTGTTTTAAGCTAAAAAGTAAGGGGAAAATACAATAGATATTAAGGTACATTCGCTTTTTCTAGTATGACATTATTATTGTTTTCATATTACTTGATAGAGAGTTGTTTTGGTATTTTATTTTAAAATTTCTTTCTTTACCTTATAGGTAGTTTGGGCCACTTCATATAAAGTTGGTTGTGCAGCTACTATGTGTCCTAACCTTGGAAAATCTCAAACTGTGATATTTGTATGCAACTATTCACCTGCGTAAGTTATTTGCAATTAAAACTTTTTCAATCAATTTTTAAAATATTTTTAATTTATGTTTCAACTAGTGTTTCAAATACGTGTTAATCATTTCCCAAAGTAGGATCTTATACTAAGGAGATAACATATTACTTACAAATAAGATCTCCCTCCACATGATAATCAAAAGAAATAGATGAGGGCCCTCCCTGGTGGCGCAGCAGGTTAAAGCACTGCACTAAGAAGCTTAAGACACTTCCGCGGCAAGAGTTCGATCCCCGCCTGCCCGGGAGGTGACCACATGGTGTGGCAGACCTCTCCTGAACCGCCCGCTGCCCCCTCAGCAGTGTGCTTTGATCATCTGCCTGTTCTGCTCCCCACTCTGTCCCTGGTGAATCCTCTTCGCCCTCCATATCTCTGGCCTGTACCCCAGTTCTGTATGAATAAATAAATAAATCTTAAAAAAAAAAAAGAAATAGATGAATGTAGAACATGATAAGATAATGTTACATGTGTAAAAATTAAAACTTTTATGAAACATTTAAACTTGAAAATGGAGACTTGAATTGAACAGGGGGTAATAGAGAATATATTGCCACAGTAGTAGCTAAATAATAGAATACAACATAGGTTGGCAGAGGCTTCTCCAAGAAAGCTTAACTTGGAATGAGTAAATTATTTAGAAAGATGGTAGAAAACACCTTCCTCTAAGAAAAGAATTCCATAATTTTTAACTACCTTTCTGATAATTGCACATGTATATATAATTCAACATAAACCTAATAAGAAGTTCTAAAAATGAAACTCTATTCCCAACAGATCTATACAAGAAAAAAAGAGAAAACCAGTTAATCCAATTCTTTATCAAAAGTTAAAAATGATAAAATGTACAAAAGATGAATACACAGTCAATGAATAATTATAAGGAACTATCAAGTAAGAGCTAGGCCAAAATGAGTAGGAAGAGGTACATACCCATAAATATCTTTCTGAATAATTTGTCATACCCTCCAGAAGCAAAAAAAAAAAGACAACAAATTAAAAGTGTTAAAGTTTGGACAGACAGAGTACAATTTTTATAAATACCAGAGTATGAAGAACTACTAAATGCTTATTGTCATCTAAAATAAAATACAGAGAGAAAAACCTCCATAATTGATGTAAAAAGCATCATTTTGCTGTGATTACTTAAGTAAAAAATTAATATTCTCAAAGATGTTGGGCCAAAATATATTTGAAGTAATTTTTCAGGCTCACAGAAAATTAGAAATTCAAAAATTCAAGAAGCTTACCTAGCTCCAAACACAGAAGCCTGAAAAAAAACTACACAAATTCCCTTTACAGTAAAAAATTCTGAAGTCAGTTACAAAGAAAGAAGTTATAAATCCAGCTAAGGGACAAAGACATGTTGAATACAAAGGAGTAAAGATAAGGATAAGAGAATCTTCATTGTAAACAACAAAAGAAGAAAAGACAGGACTATCTTTAAATATGGGAAAGAAAACCATCAACTGAGATTACTATGTCTTATGAAAACACATGCAAAAAAGAATTGTTTGCAAACCACTGAGAGAGATAATGACATGAGTGAAAATACAGGATATTTTTCATAATATTTAATTATTTTCCAAAGATATTTATACAGTGCTCACCATTACTTATATTCAGAGAAATGCTAATCAAACGCATAATGTGGTAATTTCTCATACCGGTAAGAATGGCCCACATCAAGAAGACCAGAATATTGGGGAGAATGTAAGAAGAAAGGAAAACTTGCACCCTACAGGTGAGGATGTAGATTTGTCCAGCCCTATGGAAAACAGTATGACATTTTCTCAAAATACTAAATATTAAAATATTCTTACTGGAGTGAGATGATATCTCATTGTGTTTTAATTTGCATTTCCCTGATAATTAGTGCTGTTGAATATTTTTTCATATACCTGTTGCCCTCTGCCTTTCTTCTTTGGAAAGTGTCTTTTTAGTTCTTTTGCCTATTTTTAATGTTTTCTTTGTTTTTGTCATATAGACATAGAACTAAGTCATACAGCAAAGGAAGAGACAGGAGGTGGGGAAAATAGGTGAGGGAAGAACACAAGGGAGTATGCTGATGGTTCATGGGTGATAGGGTAGCAAGAGAACTATGGGGCTACAATGATGTAAAAAAAAAACTGAATTAGTAAAAAATGAATTAATAAAAAATATTAACTATAGATCTACTATATACTCCAGCAATTCTACCCAAAGAATATAAAACCATTAATTCAAAGGACTATAAATCTGACAAGAGAAGATGAAAGATCTGTATAAGATCTGTACATAGAAAACTACATAATGTTCAAGAGAGAAATTAACAGTGACATGACAATTAGATTTACCTGGTTAGTGGGTTGGTAAACACAATATTACTAATATGCATTTTTTCACTGAATTGATTTACAGATTTAATGCAATCACGGGGAAAAACCTAGTATACCTTTATTAATAAAATCGATAAGCCAATTATAAAATTCATCTGGAAATGCAGAGGATATAGAATAGCCAAAACAACTCTAAAAGAGATTAAATTTGAAAGACTAACACTGCTGTTTTCAGGAATTATTAAAAGTAGAATAATCGCATTAAGAAATTGATGTTCAATAAAAAAAATCAGTGGAACAGAATACAGTATACAGAAATATGATTTACCACATATTTCAATTGATTTTTCACAAATGCACAAAGCCAATGAAGCAGAAAAAAAATTTTTTTTTCAATAAAGGGTAATGGAAGAATTTATCACACAGAGAAATAAACTTGGATCTACACAACATAAAATCTTCACATATGAACCCAAAATGGACCACTGACCATGTCACACTAAAACTATAAAACTCTTAGAAGACATAAAACCTGTCACCTTAAGATAGTCGTTTTTTAGCTTCCATATCAAGAGCACGATCCACAAATGAAAAAACAAATTAACACATTGTATTTCATTAAAATTAAAAGTTATCGCTGATCAAAGACACTGGTAAGAGAAGTCAAGACTGGAAGGAAATCTTTACCACTTGTCTGTATCATGTTAAGGACTTAAGCTGCAAATACACACAATCCCTAACTTAGGATTGCTCTAGTTACAATTTGTTTTACTTCAGTGGTATGAAAGCCAGATGCATGCAGTAGGAACAGTACTTCAGATTTTGAGATCTGACTAGCAAACAGTATTATACTTTCTGGTCATCCAGATCCCAAGCTCTCAGTCAGCTACATGGTCACCAGGGTAACAAAGGGAAACCCTATGATCAACACTGTTTTGTTTGCTTCTTTGTTTGATGTTGTCTCCTGGATATTGTGTTGTATTTTCAATGCTTCAAACATTCTTCAGGTCTACAATAGTGATTGTAAAATCATTGTTACTGTCATGAATAATTGCATTGGGTTCACATCTATTTTGTGTCCTATAGGGTATTCAAGAATATAATTGCCACAAGGATTAGGGACATCAATTTCTGTTTATAAAATGAGCATAAAATTGTAACAATAGTTGTTCTTTCTTCCTTTTCAAAACTCATGACTTAGTAACTGAAACAACTTACATTAGTGCATACACAAAATTAGAGAAATTAATAACTAGATGGGCTAATCAGTGTTTCTTTTTTACAGAGGGAATTATCTAAATCAACCCCCTTACACTAAAGGCAAATTCTGCTCTATGTGTGAAGAAAAAGAAGTTTGTGTAAAGAATCTCTGCAGTAAGCAAAAAAAGAAAAAAGCATAGCATCCTATTTGGAAAGCAAAGCTTCCATAAATTCATCATATTTTAAAATTTAGTTCATCAGGCTTTTAGATTATCCACAAAATTTGATTGCTGCTTTATAATGACATATATCATGTGTCATAAATCATATCATATTTAAACGCAGATAATCCCTCCCTGCTTCACTGATTATTTTCCTTCTGAGACTAAAGAAAAAGGAGTGAGGTAAAACTGTCATCTAGTTTACTGCTATGCTCACAATAACCATTGGCTGAAATGTTTTTTATTTGTATTTGTTTCCATTCACCTCCTTTGATTAGATATTATTAAAATAGTGAGTCACTCAGAAGTAATACATTAATTTATATCCAAATTGTGATTTAAAACTAATAGGTTTCTCTTTCATTATCAGCCTTTGTTCCTCAACATAAAGATAATTGACAGTGTTCCTCAACATAAAGATAACTAACAGTTTTGACTTTTGCTTTGTTGGAAATCCCCCAGCATCTTGAGAAATCTATGTTCTCCTGTTGGAGAGGTCACATGGAAATGAGTGTGATCTTTAATAGAAATATCTGGGTACCAAAACACAATGCTCTTTCCCAAGAACTTTAAATAGACATGCAAAATGTCAAAAATAGTTAACTCTCATATATCATTTTGCCCATTTGAGACTTGTGTACCTTCAATCTGAGAGGTATTCAAGAAATATTTTGATATGAAATTGTTGGCAGGATATTATTATAAAATTACTAATTTTATAGTTTTTAATATTTTAGAAAATAAGCTCATAAACATCATTATGTATAAGTGTATTAAAATACTTCAGTATTGGTTCAGTTATTTCTTCCCTTTAAGCTAAATTGAGCTCTGAACTGTTGTGTTTGTTTGTGTGTGTTTTCTTACAGGTGACACAAACTGGAATTCTCTGACAAATACAGTTCAGGAAACACTGCCTCAATGGATGATCTATAACACAATAGTCCTACTTTTCACTCTTCAGAATGTATTTTAATGTCACACATGTGCAAAAGAAATTCTCAGATGTGACAATAAAAGAACATTCCATGACAAAATATAACTGTCATCTGTTTAATTATTAAAACTTCTAACCCTTATCTGTTATCCAAACTTAATGTTTCTGTAATTTAAAAGATGTAGCATAATAGAAGTATAGCAGTAAAAATTCTGAATATTTTTTAATTGCAATTTCCCATATAGCATGAGTTCCATTCTCTAGTATACTGGACTATCACATTACAGTAGATTAAAAAACATTTTGAATATTAAAATCTTGTTTATATGCCACTAGTTTTCTTTAAGGTATACATATGAGCAACATATTTCAGAAACAAAATGTTATTAAGAAAAGTTTCAGATAACAAGCAAAGCTGTATTATGGTCATAATCTGTTATTAAGGAAATGAATGAGAAAAAATAAATGCAGAAAAGAAATCAATTAAATTTTAATATTTGGAAAGTAAATGTTCTGAAAATTAAGATCACATTCCTTTAGGAGATTTTATTTTTAAATATGCATTGTGTAAAATAACAAGATGCAGATACTATGTCCTTTAAAAGCTATGTAAAATAATCTATAATGCACTTAGCAATATCTCTACAAAGCAAAGAATTGGTCAGTTTTGGTTATTTTTTTGTCTGAGGACCAAATTTAAAACCCCCAAACAATTTGATCAATTCAGTTTCAAAAACCACTTATACTAAATTGTTGGCTCCTGTGAACTAAGCACTTACACTGAATTGCTGACTCCTGTGAACTAAGTTATCTAAATAGTGTATTATGACCATAATACACTAAGTTATCTAATCACCACCATCTCTCAGCAACAAAAGTTAAATAGCATTTTAGAATATATCTTCAATATGACTGAGTCACTTTGTATGTATTGTCAACAATTCACATAGCTGATTGATGCTATTCTTAAAGTGATAATGCACTTCAAATCTGTTTGAATTAGTCAGTGTGTTTGTATTAGTAAGTGTTCTCCAGGGAAACAGAATCAATGGGGCTGGGGGTGGGGAATGGTGATAGAAGTGGGAGAGGAAGAGGAGGATGGGGAGGGTATGGATTTAAGGAATTTGCTTACATGGTGGTGGCAGCTCACAAGTTCAAAATGTATAGAGAAAGATAGCATGCTGGAGATTCAAGTGAGAGTTGCCATCAATTTTGAGTCCTAAGACTGGAAAATTAGGCAAAAATTCTGCACTGCGATCTGAAGTCAGAACTCCATTTTCTTAGGAAATTGACATCTTTGCTCTTAATATCTTAAACTAAATGGATAGCCTGCCTGTATTATGGAAAGTAATCTTTTTTTACTTAAAACCAACTATTATTATGGTTTTGATTTGCATTTCTCTAATAGCAAGTGATGAAAGAACATTTCTTCATGTGCTGTTGGTAATCTTTATGTCTTCTTTGGAAACTATTTAGATCTGCTGCTCATTTTTTTATTGGGTTTCTTGCTTTTTTGCTCGTTAGTTGTATGAGTTCTTTCTACAGATCTTAAACATTAGCTCTTTGATGGATGTATGATGTGCAGATATTTTCTCCCATCTCTTTTGTTTTATTGATAGTTTTCTTTTGCTGTACAGAAACTTTTTCATTTGATGTCCCAGTTACTTGTTTTTGCTTTCTTTCCCTGGCTTTGGAGTCCCCAAAGACATCACTGTAGCCAATGTCATGGAACATTTTTTTAAAGATTTATTTATCCATGCATACAAGAACTGGAGTACAGGCCAGAAGTATGGGGGTGAGAGGATTCAACAAGAGACAGAGTGGGGAGCAGAACAGACAGACTGACAAAGTACACTGCTGAGGGGCGCAGCAGACCAGACAAGAGAGATCTGCTGCGCCATATGGATCACCTCCAGGGCGGGATCAAACTCTCACTGAAGCATCCTTGGCTTACCTTAGCTTCACAGTGCAACATTCCAACATGCTGCGCCAGCGGGGAGGGCCCCATAGAGGAGTTTTAAACCCCTGTGCCACCAGGGAGGTCCCATATCATGTTTCAAAGCACATTTCTTTTAAGATTTGGCCAACCAAAAAGCATTGCTGCTTTCTTAGTAGCAAAATTCTGCCCCAAAGTCATGACTTTGAGTTTCTCCTTGGTGCTATTAAATATAATGTTATAAATACAATGCAGATGTATCCCAAAAGCAAATATGAGCTTTTATTTTATGCCTAAACGTTATATACTTCAAAGCAAGCTTTTTTTGAGCAGAATGTGAAAACACCAAGTCAAAATCATGTTTGTCATTAAAAGAAAGAAATGAACACACAAAAAATAATTCTCTCCTGTTATGAACAGGGCAATTTGTCAGATAAAATGATTATTGATATTCATGCCCTAGTACTAATGAGAGAAGAAATGGAAATATTTTAACCTTATGAGAATCGATGATCACTAGTCTACCCCCGAACTGCTGAGCTTTTTATTCTTCCATTTATTTTGTGGGTTCGATAAGTAACTAAGCAAAAAAAAAAAAAAAAAACCTCAATGAAGTCATCTTTAGAGAAACTTTTGTTGTTTGTAAGGAAAGCAAAGGACACGACTTACATCAAATTTCCAACTTAACAAGTAAGGAGGAGAAAAAATAATGGAATTTTCACAGCATCAGAGAAGAATGACAATTTTCTCTTGCAGAGCTAGAAGGTTCCTCAGACATGTTAATAACTCAGCAATTGATATTTGAAAATGGCTCATTAATAAATGGTGACACAGCATTTGATGTCAGAAATCCACTCTGGTTAACATTTAGCAACATTAGTTCAGTGAAAAGCCTGCACTCATTGAATCTACACGCCTCTCTTTGGTTAGGCTGACAGTTTAAACAAGCTTTAACAGGCTGCAGTTCTGGCTTCTGCTCAAACTTTTCACTTTCTTCCAGGAAAGAGCCGCCAGCACCGACGCGCGAGTAGGCAGGGCGCCGACCCGGTCTGCGCGTGCGCACTGGCCTGTCGGCGGCCGGTTGAACATGGCGGGCTTAAGGTCGTCGGCCAGGGAGTGGGCCGTCCAGTCTCACCTACTGCCGCGAGGGGGCGTTTTAAAGCTCTGGCTCTTTGAGCTCTGGCTACTTCTCCTGGGTTCAGGTTTGAACGAAGGGTTCTTGCCAGACGAAGAGGACGTGGACTTTATCAATGAGTATGTGAACGTTCACAATGAGCTCCGGAGCAACGCCGACCCCCGACCTTCCAATCTGCGCTTTATGGTGAGACCCTAAGGGCGGCTGCCCAAATTTCTGACAACCCTTGTCACTGTGAACCGGAGTTCTAGGTCTCAGAAAGTCTGGACCTCTGCGGTTTAGGCTCAGAGACCTTGGAGTACCTCACTTTTAGCTTGAGTTTTAAATACACGTGAAGAGGGCGCTTCCTGCTGTCGCAACGGGTAAGGAGGCAGCACTGCAAGCTGGCCACAACCATGTCAGTGCGAGTTCGAGCCCCTGCCCAGGAGGTGAGCCACATGGCGCAGACCTGTCTCACCCACTGCCCCTCTCAGCAATGCACTTTATCGATCTGCCTGTTCTGCTCCCCACTCTATCTCTAGTGAATCCTCTCACCCCCTGCACCTCTGGCCTGTACCCCAGTTCTGTATGCATAGATAAATAAATCTTTAAAAAAATACACGTGAAGTTTATACACTCAGGAAATAGAAGCCACTGTTACTAACACCTAGTTGTTATCAAGATTTTGTGCAGGACTGAGACTCAGTAAAGATGCTCATCTGAGGTGCAAAATTTAAGGGGGATCTATTTGAGAAAATGCTAGTTTAGTGTAATATTTTTAAATGTAAAAAATCAATACAAAAATTATAATTGATGAAGAAATTAACAATTTCTAATTGAATCCTCGGGCTTGAATTAGGAAGCGACAAGTCAGGAGCTTTCCAAGGAAAGGTCAGATAGTAATTTTATAGAGACTAGGGCCCGCTCTGGTGGCGCAGCGGGTTAAAGCGCAGCACTAAGAAGCTTAAGCCACTTCTGCATGAGTTCGATCCCCGCCTGCCCCGAGGAGATCCACATGGCGCAGCAGACCTCTCCTGACCCTCCCGCTGCTCCCCTCAGCAGTGTACTTCGTCGATCTGCCTGTTCTGCTCCCCACTCTGTCTCTGGTGAATCCTCTCACCCTCCGTATCTCCAGTCCGTACCCCAGTTCTGTATGAATAAATAAATAAATCTTTAAAAAAAAGAAACTTGAATTTTTCATCATGGATGTTTTTACATTCATTAAATTTGCTTTTTTTAAACCATATTACCTTGATTCCAGAGTTTCTTGGTAGTCACCCTAAATTTTGCTCTTTAGAGACTGTCTCAGTCACCTCACCTATGTCTCAGCTTTATTTTTCGTATCCTCATAATGTTCTTTCTTCTTTCCTATGTTCCCCTGTTTCTGTTTAATAGCTTATTGAATGTTCACTTGTTGCTAAAGAGTCTTTGTGATTATCTTTTTTTAAAAGATTTTTTTTAAGATTTTATTTATTTATGCATATAGCACTGGGATACAGGCCAGAGGTGCAGGGGTGGCAAGAGGATTCACCAGAAACAGAGTAGGGAGCAGAACAGGCAGATCTACAAGGTACATTGCTGAGGGGAACAGTGTGTGAGACAGGAGAGGCCTGCTGAGCCATGTGGGTCACCTCAGGACCAGGATCCAACTTGTGTTGATGTGGCCACGGCATGGCTTGGCTTTGCTTAGCAGCACAGCGCTCCAACCTGTTGTGCCACCAGAGAGAGCCTTGTGACTATCTTTTTTAAAATGACTGTAGGGCCTGGTGGCCTAAGGGTTAAGTCTCAGTGCTGTCACTACAATGGCAAGAGTTCCATCCCCAGCCAGGGAGGTGACCCACATGTGGTTCAGCAGACCTCTCCTGTCTCCCCTGCTGCTCCCCTTAACAGTGTATTTCAGTAAATCCCCTTGCTCAGCTTCTCATTCTATCTCAAATGAGTACTATTTCCCCTTTCACACGCCTCCTTACACACACATCCCATACTTCCAGCCTATATCCCAGTTTTTCTATGCAAAAATAAATAACAGAATTTATTTTTAAAAATCTCTTTAAAAAAGACTAAAATTTATTGAGGAAATAACTACACTCATCACTTATAATCATATTACTATAAGGACTCTCTTCCTAGACAGTGTGTTTTCTTCCTGCTGGTTTAATTCTTTAGAAAAAAAAAGAAAACAGAAATGAGATAAGCAAATTAAGGATATGATGATATTTATATGATACATAACAATTGCTTTCTAAAATACTGTGCTAAAGCTTTTAGCAGTGTTTAAGTATATTTATCACATCCTCCTTGGCTTGGGCATTTTTTTACCACTTGCTTAACTAAATAACAATTCACATTAACGTTCTTTATTTTTTTTAAGATTTATTTATTTATGCATACAAGAACTGGGGTACAGGCCAGAGGTGCAGAATGAGAGGATTCACCAGAGACAGAGTGGGAGCAGAACAGGCATATCTACTCAAATACACTGCTGAGGGGAGCAGTGGGTGGGAACTCCTGCTATAGTTGCTACTGATAACTTCACAGTGCTGTGCTTTGACCCCTTATACAGTCAGGGAGGGCCAAATGTTCATTTTTAAATGCTATGAACATATTTATTTGAACATAATTTTTATTGAACATATTTAATAATTTTTTGCTCATTTTTTACCTCTTATATTGTCAGTGCTCCCTTTTCTTATTATTTATGTTCTTATAAGCAATATTAGCTGAAGATAGTTTTTCCAAGTCAATTTTTACCTTTTGAACTTAATCTTAGAATTTAGGGATGTTACGTATGTATTTCTCCTGAGTCTGCTAGCACTTAACTCTATACAGTCACCTACAATAAAACTTCATTTCTAACTCACCAAAAGAAAAAAAAAATCTCATTCTGTACCTTTGATAGACTATCATCCTGGTCTGCTTTCATCAAGATTCCTATTAGATCAATTTAACAAGAACTACCTTACCTTTGGGGTCTTCTTTAGATCAGGGTCTATCCACTGATCCCTTCAGTTGTATCATTGACTATAAAATCTTCCTTTGTCCTTTCTGTGTTCAAATTGGAGCCCAGTCACTCCCCATTTTCAATTGTCCTCAAAACCTATCATGACAGTCTGAATCATCTTTCTTACAAATAGAATTATTAACTTTTACTTTAACGGTTAAATTCTTCATTTGTGATCTCCTATTCTCAGTTCACTTATTCATTGAATGGATGAATAAATAGATGAATGTGTAAAAAGCACAAATGGAAAAATTAGAAAAGCACAAAATCTCCAAATATATTCAATAAAGGGGAGAAAATAGTGAAATAATAGAATGTTCCTAGAATTGAAGAAGGACATGAAGTTATAGAGTATGAGAGCTCTCAGGGAAAATTTGAGGAAGACTATATTTTGGGAATTTTATTTCAACCATAATAGTTAACCTTTCCCTAATTGTCTTTGAGTTAATTTATTTAAAATTTCTTAAATTGTAGAAAATTAATGGTAGTCAATTGATGTTGTCCATCTCAGTGCAAATCTAGTTGTGTCTTAGGAAATTAAATTCATCATTGTTCTGTGAATAGAACCCAGGTTTTTTCATTTATTCATAAATTTATTTCAGCATTCTTTCCCTACATATGAAATTAGGAATTCTTTGAACTTTCTTTGAAGCAATGAAAGCATCTTATTGGTTTTTCCCTCACAATTGAATTAAATAAAATTGTTGACATGTGTGTTATAGTTCTATCCACCCTCAAAATTATTTTTTAATAAACTAATAAAATAGACTACTAAGTACTGAATCAATTAAGAATAGGTCCCTACCCTAACATATTTTATGAATGAAACTGAAAAATGAAATCTTAAAAATCTCCATATTACCTACACAAAAACATGAATTAGGTAAGATTCCAAATTTTCTATCTAAACAAGGGTCAACAAAATTTTCTGCATTCTCAAATTCCATCAATCAACATCTTCCTATAATTTCTCATTGTGGATATTATTATCACTTGAAATTTTGGCTTCTGTAAAGAAAACAAAAACCAAACAACCCAATTAAAAAATGAACAAAGGGACATAATAGGCATTTTTTCAAAGAAATGGCTCACAGGTAAATGAAAAGATACTCAACATGACTGATTATCAAGAAAATGTTAATCAAAACCACAATGAGACATCAAATCTATTAGAATCTGTATTCTGGAAACCAAGAGATGACAAGTTTTGGTAAGAATGTGGAGAAAAGAGAAACCTGTGCACCGTTGTTTGGAATGTAAGAAAACAGTATGGAAGTTCCTCTAAAACTGAAAAATAGAACTACTGTGTGATCTAGCAACCCCATGGCTGGGCATATCCAAGAGAAATGAAAACAGAGTCACAAAGGGATATCTACACTTCCATGTTCATTCCAGTGTTATTCACAACATCCATTTTTGGAAGCAAACTGTCCATTGGTAGATGAATAATAATACGATGAAGATATGGAATGGGATGTTACTCAGAAATGAAAAAAACAGGATATCCTCCCTTTGTAATAATTTGTAGCTACCTGAAATAAGTCAAAGAAAGACAAGTACTATATGCTGTCATATGTGGAATGTAAAAGAAAAAAATCAAATTCAGGAGGGCCCTCCCTGGTGGCGCAGCGGGTTAAAGCACAGCACTAAGAGGTAAAAGCCACTTCAGCATGAATTCGATCCCCACCCCAGAGGTGACCCACATGGCGCAGCAGACTTCTCCTGACCCATGTGCTGCTCGGCTCAGCAGTGTACTTCGTCGATCTGCCTGTTCTGCTCCCCACTCTGTCTCTGGTGAAACCTCTCACCACCCCTGCACCTCTGGCCTGTACCCCAGTTCTGTATGCATAGGTAAATAAGTCTTTAAAAAAAATCAAACTCAGAAACAGCGAAAAGTGGGTGCTAGAAACTGAAAAGTGAAAGAAAATAGGAAGTAGTTAGGTGAATGGTACAAGCTTTCAGTTATAAAATAGGTTGTGAAGCTCTAGTGTAAAACATGGTGGCTATAGTTCATGTTATGTAATTTAAAAAAAATAATAAGCATTAGCTTTTTTTTCCCAACTGTAATTTTATTTAAAGTTGAACAAAGGAGTTTAGAACTATCATAACTTACATGTACACCATAATGGAAAACAGTGAGGTAGATGCTTAGGAATTTGGAGATGAGATTTAGATTCCAGGTTTAAATAGAGGCTCCACAGTATACTGGTATTAAGTAGTTACTAGAAGTAAGTTACTGAACTTACTTGTAACTTAGTTAATTTCTTTGTGAAACCAAAAAAATAATAATAATGCATAAGGTTATTGTGAATATGAGGTGAAGTAATGCGCAAAACACTTAGAATAGACAGGTAGAAGGTAAGCATCTGATGTGTAAATAATATGCAAAATAAGGCAATAGAAGGATTGTCCATGGAGCATTATTTATAAATGAGATGAAGTCTAATAGTCTATTAATAGTGGAGTGCTAACATTATATGCAAGCTATATTATTCAGTAACACATAGAGTTTGTAAAACGTTAGATTGGTCCAGTCGTGCTAATATGAAATAGTCTCTCCAAGTGAAAACCACAGATTACAAGCCACTTTTATTGTGTGTGTTATGATTATAATAGCGCAAGGAAAAAAATCATAAAGTACCCGTTTTAAATATATTTGATGTTTTAGTGTGTGTGCGTACACAGAGGTACAAAAATGTATATATATAAACAATTGTTTTAACAATGATATTCTGAAGGTTTATTTTGTCTTTTATAATATCTTTTATATTTTGTGTTTATAATCTATGGAAAAACCCAGATAATCTGAGTGTAGTGTGAGTTCCTATGAGCTGAGCACTCTTGGACAACTGTGACCTACTCACTATCTGCAAATCACAGCAGAACTTTCCTTAACTATGGAGTGTGGCCCATGTCAGGAGGCAGGCTCAGGGGTGCCCAGGATGCTGTTGACCTGATTACTGTCTCCAATAACAACCTCAGGATAACTCTGCCTGTGACAACATCATACTTTGCTGATGCAATGTCTCTTGATGTATGATCAAGAAGTCCTTCTCCCTGTCCTTCATAAAACTTGGTCCCTCATTCCAACCCTACCCTCCAGATTTTATTCCTGATACCACTGTCTCATGATCAGCGTTTACCAGCCTGTATGATCAATGGCACAGAACTTCTGCTCCAGTAGCAGAGTCTGGCCTTGCACACCTGCTCCCTCCTGCTTTGTCCCTGGGGGGGGGAGGGGGGGAGGTCTTTCTGCTGCAAAGGAGGAACATGTTGCTTCTACTGTTTAGCTACACTGTAACATATGACCTCAGTATTTTGGTTTTACAACTTAATTTGTTAATTTTATTGATTTTTCTATGTATTTTGTTCTTGTTCTTGTCATTAAACAGTGGACTCAAGGAGTCTCTAAATAATGACAAAAGCGCACTTTTCTGGGGACATAATATCCCTGATAGCTCTAATAGAAAGCAACCAGATGACAAAATTCAGGTTTTACTTCTTATTTTACTCTTCATAATACAATAGCTTGCATATAGTCAGTGTTCGAAAGACAGTTCTTAGATAAATATTTTAAGTTATTACTATATATAAAAAGGCTTGAGATTAAAAATACACATTCTGAACAGATTACATGTAAGACTATACTGTTCTGAACAGACTATCTAATAGACATAATCATTTGCATCGTCTAATAATCTGATTTACTTATAAATATATGCATAGACCTTCTCTCAAGAAATATTAGTTTGATTTATGATTATCTTCAAAACCTTTTCCTCCATGGAAATACCAAAAATAAGACCCATGTGCACAAAGTTCAATTTGTTTTCCTTGAATTTAACTATGAAAACTCAAGGGAAATAATATTGAGTATACACAAAAAAACTCAATTATTTTCTTTTCTTTGCCTTTTGCATTTCTTTCAGACTTGGGATGTAGCTTTGTCACGGACTGCTAGAGCATGGGGGAGAAAATGTTTGTTTCAGCATAATAGTCACTTAGAAGAACTGAAGATGGTCCATCCTGTATTTAGTGGAGTTGGTGAAAATCTTTGGGTTGGCCCTGAAAATGCATTTACTGCAACTATTGCTATCAAAAGTTGGTATGAAGAGAGAAAGAATTATGACTTTTCAAATGACACTTGTGAAACAGAGTGTTCTAATTATTTGCAGGTATGTAATTTTTATATTATTAATTCAATAGATGTCTTGACTGTTTTATGCCAAGTGTTTATTGATCATATTTCAATTTTATAAATAAACTTAACTGGTAAAATTATTACTTCTAATCGAATCAAAATTCTAATCAGTCCTAAATTTTCATGATGTCTATAACTTTTGTTATGAGAACCATAAAATTAAAACATTCCTTTAAATCTAGTGAATGTGTTTCCCTATCCAATAATGTGCAAGGCCTCCCTAGTAGCACAGTGAATCAAAGCACAGCACTATGAAGCTAGCCATAGCCACTGCAGCATGAGTTCAATTCCTGGCCAGGGAGGTGTCCCACATAGCATGGCAGGCCTCTCTGTTTCACCCGCTGCTCCCCTCAGCAGTGTATTTCATTCGTTCTGCCTGTTCTATTCCCCACTCTGTCTCTGGTGAATCCTCTCACCCTCTGTACCTTACCTCTAGCCTGTACCCCAGTTCTCATTTGCATACACACATAAATCTTTAAAAAACAAAAATAATGTGCATTGGAAAAGGGAATAAGAAACCAGCAGAAAAATTATTTTTTAAATATTGACAATGAGTACAAACAAAAGATGGTATTTTTGTTGTTGTTCAGTACACATACTACTAAATAACAACTGATTAAAATATTTTAATTAAATTGTTTTATTTCCCTGCCTCAAGTCTAACAATTTACCCTATCACTTTAAAATCTAAGAATATTGAACCACTTTTTCTTTTCTATATATACACTAATGATTTTACATATCACCCTCTTCTGTATTGTTTACTCCTCAATTCTAGACACTTGGACACTTGTTTACTGCATCTGACTTAACTCCACATTAACTGCTGAAGACATTCTATTAATCACTAACTAAAGTTGAGGTAAAGGAAAAGGTAAACAGAAATGTCTCCTCTTCCACAGAGCTTAACAAACAAGTCCCCTCCTTTCTTCCCCTTGAAATTAGTGGAAATAGCCATACAGAGAATTTCTGGAATACCTTCAGTTATTCTCATATTTTTACTCCATTTCAAGACTTGCTTTTCCTTTGAAAGAAACCTGGTCTTCTTTTTCTTCTTAAGGGAAAAAGAAAAAGAAAAAACAACAACAAAACAGCTCTTTTGTCTTATAATGAAATCTTCAATAAGAAAGAAGAGAAATGTTAATAACATTCCATTACTTTCTATTGTATATTTCTTTTCTTTTTAAAATTAGTTTATTTTTACATTTTTTGCCTTTTCCCATCTCGGTTGTAACTCCCGTGGGCTTCCCACCACCAATCCACCCGTGTGCCATCACCACAGGGCATGTACTTCCCTCCACTTTTTGTCTATCATATATTTCTTTTCCCTTTCTTCTGTAATCTTGCTGCCTTTATTTTCCCTTCTATTCACAGCTTTATTTCTTCCAAAACTTTTCTCCTCTCTTCTTCCTTTTCCTTTCTGCCAATAACATAGAACTTCCAAGTTCAACCAAGAGTTGAAAATTTATTCAGCAGGGATGCCTTCCTTTATCTCTAAAACATCATTCTTGGTTAGTGTTTCTCAGTTTCTTTCTCCTACAAATACAGAATTGCCAAAACCTATTAAAACAGTTCTCTAAAGTTTTAAAACTTCTTCTGGGTCCTCCCTAATGGCACAACAGGTTAAAGCACAGCACTACGAAGCTAGCCAAAGCCACGTCATGAATTCCATCCCACCAGGAAGGGACCCACATGGCATGGCAGACCTCTCCTGACCTTCCTGCTGCTGCTCTCCTCAGCAGTGTACCTCTTGGATCTAACTGTTCTGCTCCCCACTCTGTCTCTGGTGAATCTTCTCACTGCCCCTGTACCTCAGGCCTGTACCCCAGTTCTGTATGCATAGATAAATCTTTAAAAGAAAAAAAAAAACTTCTTCCCTAAACTCATGATAATTTTCTCCTTGCATCCAACTGCAGAGTAATTCATATTCCTTGAGCTGCTTGGTTAAAGTTTCTGTGTGGATTGAATATACTCTTGTTTATAGCATGTGAAGTAAATTACATTTTATGTGTCCTCTGAAATTTTTATTTTAGGTTGTTTGGGACCTCACTTACAAAGTTGGTTGTGCTGTTACTGCATGTCCAAGAATAGGACGTATTCAAGATGCAGCACTTTTCATATGTAACTATGCACCAGGGTAAGCAACTTAAAAAATATATTATAAAAACTAGGTATTTTTCATTATTAAATTTTTCTAAGTTTCAGTATATTCTTTTAGCTGTATCTGTGAACTATAAGTTAACTATAAGATAGCAAAGATTGGATATTGAGTTATTTTCAGTTTTGTCTTGCAATGAGTCATAATTTGTATATAGACAAGTCAATTACTTTCTAAAAGATTTTAACTTTAGTATTACTTCATGATCTAGCCTAGCATAGTTTGGTTAATTATTTTACTTATTTTTAAATTACTTTCCAAAATAGGTTATTTCCCTATAAAAAAAGCCAAAAGAAAATAAGGTTAGCTGTGTTGTAATAACATTTTCAGAGTACATAAGTCTTATAACTTTAAAGCTACTATTAGTTGACTATCCTTTAGAAGTTACATTAATAACTGGGACTAGTTTCATACATGTGAGCCATCATAATATCTCAAAATTGGAGTACTTCAAAAGTCTTCTTGTCAAGTTTTCCATATAAGATGACATTATTTCCATTTTGCTTACATGTGAATACTCTCTATTTGAATACATTTCTTTGGTGATAAATAACTACCTTCTAAAGCAGTCTTCCATTTCTGGAGTGACCTGTTAGCAAATCTTAAGCTATTTTTGGTCACTGTGATACCATAAGTAACAGGAAAATGTTCAACTATTGAGGGAAAAGCATAATCAGTATATCAGGTAAACAGTAAAAATTAAAAAAACATTTCTGCCTGATAAAATGTTTTAAGACTAAACCAAAAAGAAAAAGAAAATTGATTACTGTGTGTCCCTAGACAGGGAAAGAAAACTAACCATGATAAAATGGAACTAGACTCAGAAAGATCCTTCTTGATGTCAATACTGCAGACTTTGAACAAAGACACCTCATAACAAGTTTGGGGTATAGAGTCATTGCAAAAAAATTTAAGCTTCCTTTTATTCTTACAGACTAGAAGCATTGTGGTGATATCTAGTGTGTGAAGAAATAGGAAAATTTACTACCATTTACTATTGAAAATTTAGATAGTGAACCAAGTGCTGGTGGGAGAGGAAGAGAAGAAATTCATCCCTCTAAGGCACCATTATTCATTCATGTACTCATCATCTATGGACAATCAGTCTCCTGTTCTATTTCCTAATAAGACCAAAAAAATTGCTGACCATAAGAATTGTTTTAGAGGGAGATGATAAATAAGTGAACAAATAAGTAAATACTATTTACTTAGGTTATAAAATATGCCATAAAATATACAAATAAATAAGTGATAGCTAACATTAAATATACATAAAAAAGAGGCGGTGTTTGAGCTGAAAGTCAGGTAATAGTCGCTAAAGAATATTTCAAATTGAAATAACAACATGTATGAAATCTCTGAACTTTGACTGAGTTTAACATGCCTGAGAAATAATTAATTGTGGTTAGAACTATTAGATGAGGTAAGTTAAGTGACAGCTTAACCAAATAGATTATCATAGGAAATATCAGGATTTAGGAATTTATTCTAAGTGATGGCAAAACCATTGGAAAATCTTTGTTTGGAAAAGAACAGACAGACACAAGAATACTAATCTATTGTGTTGTGAATAGACTATAGGGAAATAAGGGTAAAAAGTGAAAGTAGCAGCTTGCTTCTGTAGTAGTTGTCTCTATATTACAGACTGTGGTATCAATTTATTTAAGATTTATTTATTTATGAATATGAGAGCTGGGGTATAAGCCAGAGTTGCAGGGGTGGTGAGAAGATTCACCAGAGACAGAATGAGGAGCAGAACTGGCAAATCGACTGAAATACACTGCTGAGGGGAGCAGTGGAGGAGACAGGAGAGGTCTGCTTCACCATGTGAGTTAGTTCCCTGGTCAAGGATCAAACTTGTGCTGCAGATAGCTTAATAGGGCTGATACTTAAACCCTTGCGCCACCAGGGAGACCCACAGACTGTAGTGTCTTGGATCAAGTTGTTAGCATGTAGATTGGTTTTCTATTATTGTTTATAAATTATCACGAACTTAGTGTCTTAAAATATAGCCCATTTACTATCAAATAGTCCTGTAGGTTATAAGACTCTAAAAAGACAAATAAATATATAAGTATTAGTCAACTAATCAATTCATTCCTCCTTCTCAAAGATTTAAAGCTCCTGTTACCATATATATATTGGATAGCCAGAAATGCCAGCCTATCCAGTGTCTGAACAAAGGGCCAATCCTTTGATTCTCTGCTTAGAGTCTCAAAGCCAGAATCAAAGTGTTGACCGAATTGTTAACTGGAATCTAGTTCTATACTCATTTAGGTTATTAGCAGAGTTCAGTTTCATGTGATTATAGGATTCAGGTCTCCATTTCTTTTCTCAGCCAAGAATTGCTCTCAACTTCTAGAGCCTGTCCACATTCCTTGATGCACGGATTTAACCATTTTCAAGTCACTAAGGACACATCAGATCCTTCTGATGTTTCAAATCCTAATTTATCATCTGTGACCAGCCAGATTTATCATCTGTGACTCTCTATTTTTGAGGTACCCAATTGACTGGGTCAGGCCCACCTGGTTAATTTTCATAATTTAAGGTCAACTACGCTATATAGCATAACTTAAACATGGACGTAAATCCCATCATAGCTACTGATCTGGAATTACTCAAGGCCTATAAACATTGTATGGTCAATATGTAGGTATTCCTGTGTTGGATGCATAAATATTAATGATTGTTACAGCTTCTTAAGGGATTGGCCCTTTGTTCAGACACTGGTTAGGCTGGCATTTCTGGCTATCCAATATATATATGGTAACAGGAGCTTTAAATCTTTGAGAAGGAGGTTCCACTATATTCTAGATTGGTGAGGAATGAATTGATTAGTTGACTAATACTTATATATTTATTTGCCTTTTCAGAGTTATTCCAGGATAGAGTTATCAGACATTATAATCACAGGATGAATGGCCTGTGCTACCTGTTTTAAAGACAGTGTTTATAATGAGTAGTTTTTTGCGTAGGTTTAGGGGCAGGAGGCCTCTATCCCTTGGGTCTAAAGATAGGTAGGATAAGCTCTGTTTTTGTGTTGGATGCATTTTAGAAATCAAGATTTTAGATAAGTATACGAGGACACAGGTAAATATGACCAGATCAATTCTTAATTTCTGGAAGGCTAGTGTTCTAGCTGAGATCTAAAAATATAAAAATGTGTTTTTTTAAAAATGTGTTTTTTAAAAATTTTTTTAAATATGTGTTTGATAATGAAAAGTGAAATTAGAGAAGTGTTGTGCAATCTACAAATAACCCCAAACTTCTGTGTGTTCTTGGTAGACTGGAAAAACTTGCTTTCCAAGGGTATCAGATATCTAATTGGGTATCAACAAAAAAGACATGACCCAGAAATTTAATATTCACAATTTTGAATATGTATTTCTTCTGTTCTGGCCACTCTTTTGCATGACCCAGAATGACCTAACTGGGACGTATATGCCTATTGTTTGTTTATAGAATGTACAACAGTGTGCTGACAATTAATAAGCAATTCTGTTGAAATGATAAGTATTAATGACGCTGCCCTCACTCAAAAACTTTTCCCTATCTTTTTTCCATATCTTTCTTAGCATAGATCTTTTAAATAAGCATTTCATATCTAATTTATGGCCTATTTCCTTACTTAACACTGCACAATTGATGTAATAATTTCTCAGTTTTCCCCTGTGATATATGCAGTGAATTAAATCAACTCTGTAAAAATTCCACTTATATTTTTTTCATTTGTTGACATATTTATGTATTTTCTGAGTGGGTCACAAAGTAATCCATATAGTTCAGTCTTTGAGATAATAGGCATTTCAGGATTTGTGAATTCCTCAGAAAATAAATATATCATTTCTATAGTACTTTTAATACATCTATGTCAACTAGAGAGCAAGTAATTATAAAGCAGTCTATAGAATTCTTTTTAAGGAAAAATTCCACTGCAAAATACGTGAAATAAAAGTGCTTTAAAACTCATGTTTAAATAATAATGTTTTCAAAGACCTGGAAATAATTTCAGAAGACATTGTTTTCAAGGAGGGGTGAGAAGGGGAATAATGTGTCTCCTCCTTAAGACTTTCATAAGCCCATTTTCTTAATTTAGTTCCCTTTACAAACTAAAAATTGATGACAGTATATTTAAGTAACAGAATTTGAGACATTTTCTTACTAAATGTTTTCTTTTTTTTTTTTTTTTAGAGGAACTCAGAAAAGAAAGCCTTACATACCAGGACAGTATTGTTCTAGATGTAACAGATATGACAGATGCACAGATTTTCTATGCAGTAAGATAAAGAAAATAACTTAAACATGAAAATAAGCATAATGTATTTTACAATAAGAAAAATGAACTGTACATTATCATGTTAATATTGAATGGGATATACTTATGCTAAAAGATTATTTCTTATATTCTAAAACTTAACTTGATAGCCTATATTTTTATTTCTTAAACCTGACCCCTCTACCAACCTGGTGTGGGCTGTGACAGCCTGTGAAGGATGTGGAGGGCCCCACTTAAGGGATGAAGTAGAGGCAATGATAGGTGGTGGGAAGCACACTGAGGGGTTGATCAAACAAGCAAATAGATTAAGAATAATAGAAGACACAGTGGAGAGGGAGAATTATAGGCATCAGATCTCTCACTGTCAGAGATGGAATACAAATACATAAAGGAAGAAAATAAGCATGGATCTTGTGGTTATGAAGTGGAAGGTATTAGTATTTAAGGATTTCAAAAAATATAAATAGACATAGATGGAAATATTTGTATATGATCTATCTATCTATCTATCTATATATATATATATATTCCCTAAGCACTGAAATATTTGTATATGATATATCTATACACATATATTCCCTAAGCTCTGAAATGAATTTGGAGTAAGAATCACCCTCCACCCTCATTCCACCAGTTCCTCCAAAAAAATGAATACAATTAACACCCAGACCTTGAATTCTAAATTTCAGTCTATACTAAAAGCGAAATTTCAGTATTTCTCATTGGAGAAAGACAGTATCTAGGACAGAGGCAGGGAAAATATAAGACAAATCCAGAACTTCTTTTTATATCTGAAAGCAAAGAAGAGCTCAAAGCATACAGAGACATGTGACCACAGCATATAGCCTCTTTTTTCCCCCTGTATTATTTTTATAGAGGTAACAATGATTTTCAATACTATATATAAATTGGGGTATAAAGTCTCACCTCTGGAGATATACAACGCCCACCACCAAGTTCCCATAGTCCTTTGCCATTAACCAAGGGGCCCCTTCACCCCTTTACTTCCCTCCCATTCTGGTAGTCTCAATTATTCAGATTTCAAGAGGATTTTGTTGTTGCTAAATTTTTCTATTCTTCTGTTTTGCTCTTCCACATTCCACATATGAGTCAAATTATCCAATATTCGTCTTTCTCCTTTTAACGTAATATAGTTCCACTATATTGCACTTAGTATATTGCACTTAATATAGCTCCCTCCAGTTGTCACAAAGGGCAGGATTTTTTTTTTTTAGTTAGTGTGTAGTATCCCCAGTGTACACCACATTACACCAAAGACAACCTTAAAGGGCTCCAACTGGACAAACGTGAGGAAATTTGAGATAATGATAACAGTATAGGCATATCTCATTTATTGCAATGGCTTCTAAATGTTCAAGTGAACGGAAGATTGCACACCTCTCAGCATGGTTCTAAAACTAGAAATGATTAAATTTACTGAGAATAAAATGCCCAAAGCTAAGATAATTTGAAAACTAGAGGCTAATTAGCCAAGTTGTGCTTACAAAGCAAAAGTTCTTAAAAGAAATTAAAAGTGCTACTTCAGTGAACATATGAGTGAAAAAAAAATAGCAAAACAATCTTATTGCAGATAAGTAGAAGTTGAATGGTATGGATAGAAGATCAAACGAGCTATAACACTTTAGCCAAGGACTAAACCAGACCAGTGCCCTAAATCTTCAATTCTGTGAGGGCTAAGAGAGATGAGATTATCTGGTGTTCTTTTAACATCATGCACTCATATATAAAGGTACTTTCCTAGGTTTGGGTAGTTTCCTATATTAATTTTTATATGTTTCTGTTTCTTTGTCTCTCTTCCTCTTCTTGGATACCAATTATTCTTATACTTGCATTTTTGAATGACGTCATATAAGTCTCATAGTGTTTCTTCAGTTTTCCATCTATATTTTTTTCTTCTTCCACCTAGATTATTTGTGCGTTACCATCTTTGAGATCAATGATTCAGCTTCCCATTCAGTCTATTCAGTTTGTATAGCTTTCTGAATAATATTTTGTATCTTTTCTAATGATCTTTTAACACCCTGCATCTCTTACTTTCTTATTTAGTTTCAGTTACTCTCTCTTGTTCATTAATTTTCTCAGAACATCCATTTGTTTTCTGTATTGTATATCTTTGATCATATTTTCTGTGTTTTCTTTGAATTTCTTTAACACAGCAACTTTGAACTCTGTATATCTGATAGGAAGAAAAGAGCTCTAATGACTTTGTGGTTAGATTATGGAGATTTGTTCTCTCTTTGGTGACATATTTCTTTAAGGACACAGATGCTATGTGTTCTATTTTTCTGCCTGCCCATTGTGCAACTTCCCAGCTCTTTATTAAAATGTCCTGTGAACATTAAATTTCTACTTTTCCAGCAGATGGCACTGTGAATTTTCTTTTACTTTCTTGGCTTGGCATTTCAGTATCTTGTATTTTGGGGAGGGAAGAACAATAGCTGCTAATTCGGGAGTGTGTAAGGATCCTGAAGGGGCTCAGTGGCTGGTAAAAGTTGTACCACAGTGGGCTTTTATATGTGGTACCTTTAGAGACACTGCTCTCTGGGCTTCTGGACCTGTGTGCCTGCATCTGTTACCAGAGAGCCTCACAGGACTGATATCCTGCCAGCTTTCCTAAGTGAAGTACCATCCACTTCTCTATGCAATTCACTGGGAACCTGGCAAGGCTGGCACGCCCCCGTTTCCTCCACACAAATCTCATTTCCGTTGAGGGTGTACCTCACTATCACTCAACTGTCACCCACACCTAAGAGCACAATTCTGAGTTTTGCATGGCAAAACACCCGGGCCATAGACTCAAGGCAACTCTCTCTGCCCACTTTTTATTTTAGGGACTTGAATTTCCTCAGTATTCCTTCTTGTGTGACCAGTGCTTGCCTCTGTTGTCCAACAGGTACTCTCACTTTGCCCCAGGTCACTGGACTCGCTGAACCCAGTGGCCCTCTGAACTACTTTCAGATTATTCTTCTAGCAGCAAAGCAGAAAACTTTTCTTCTGTAATGTCCACCATCTCTCTATGCATTGATTCTTAATTAATAAGATTAAAATCTAAAGATTATGGTTACAAAAACAAAATGTAAACATAACAAAATTTGCTAGTATATGTACACATGATATAATTAATGAAATGGGGGGGAAGAAAGAAAAATGTGCTCAATTTTCTCATCTCTTATAGTCAGGGTCCTAACGATATCATTTAAAGTTGAGAAATCAAACAATAGAGATTTAAGTAAATATAAATGTATTTTAATATTAAGTCAAAACCAAAAGTAAAAAAAGAATGTAATCAGTGAAAATTAGTGATGAAAAAAATGAAGATTAAATGTACTAATTATATCATGGCTCTACCAAGCTATCAATAGTTACACAATCACAGAATAAAGTAGAAAAATTATAGACTGTCATAAAAGACATCTTTAAAAGGAATGGAAAATAGAAATCATTATATACAATATGAAACAATAAGTAAAAACAAGCACAAAAACAATAACTGAGACCAAGTATAAAAGGCTAAAATGACCTCAGTTATCCAACAGAAGGTCACTAACTCTTCAAGATACCTGAATAGCAATTTCTCAGTTTTCCTCTAAGGTTAGTATCATCCCAAGAGAAAGCCCCTAGTTTCCACTGGGCTGTCTATGTGAGAACTCTTTTGCCCTTCCACTCTCCTTCCTAGTGGAATCTAGGAATAGTTGCGCAGGTGAGCAGATGAAAAGAAATTTATATCCGGTAAGGTATTGTGGCATTATGAGGCTGCATAGCACAGTGAATGAATGACAGCTACAGAAGTAACTTTGCCATCTAGGAAAGAAAGAACAACTGACAGCTTCTGAAAATAAGATTTACTTGAAGACAGTGAGTAGATTCAGAAGATTGACTGGAATTACTGTGGGTGGAAAGGTGGGGAAAGGAGATGAAAATAAGATATTATAAAATCCTAAAATGTTGGAGCTGCAATAGTCTTTTGAGAGCTTCAGTTAAATGAATTAAATAAGGTAAAAAAGCATTTAGAGAAAGAATTAATACCAGAGTCCACAATTTCTCTTACACATCCATGTTTTCTCTAGCAGAGCAAGCTGACTTATAGTAAAAATAAGCATGCTATACTTTAATTCAAGCTACTAGTTTGAGGAGCAGCAATGATGCTGTCATGTTGTTTAAGAAGTAGAAGGATATCATTATTGTTGAGCAAATTATCTTATATCCTAGAAAAAAGAAGAAATTACAAAATTTCTTTATGTTCTTTCTATTTCTCTCTAGGTAGTGCAGAGCGTGACCAAGCCACATGTATGTATTATTGTCCTTTATTTCTTTTTACTTTTTTTAAAAAGATTTTATTTATTTATGCATACAGAAATGGGGTACAGGCCAGAGATGCAGGGGGTGAGAGGGTTCTCCACACACACAGCAGGGAGTAGAACATGCAGATAGGTGAAGTACACCGCTCAGGGGAGCAGCGGGCGGGTCAGGAGAGGTCTGCCCATCATGTGGTCACCTCTGGGGCAGGCGGGGATGGAACTCATGCAGAAGTGGCTTTAGCTCTTAGTGCTGTGCTTTAACCCGCTGCGCCACCAGGGAGGGCCCTAGCCTTTATTTCTTAAATGATCTTTACTAGTTGATATGAACTCACTTTCAGTTGCTTCTTTATTTCCAGATTACAGATTTTGGTATCCCAAGTGGGAAATACCCCGGCCACTTGTGTGTGATCCACTATGCATACTTACTCTATTACTTAGGTTGATATGCCTTTCACTCTGCACTACAGCTGTTTTGGTAGTACAGGTTCATTTTCCAAATGTATTGCTAGAAGAAGAAATATTAAATAAACTTGAGGAAACTGAAGTAAAGCCAGAAGTGGCAGAGGTGAATGAAGAGAAGGAGGAGGAGGAGGAGGAGGAGGAGGAGGAGGAAAATACTCAGAAGATTACAACTGATCAATAAGCAAAGTGAAAGATTTGTAAAAAACAGAAAACACAAAAACTAAATTTTAGCAAAAGAGAACCACTCTTGCAATACCTTTTATTCCTCTCTCTTTCCCATACTTATCCAGCAAATTTAAATGAAAACAGAGAAACAAAAAAAAAAAAAGTATTTTATTGCATATGTTGTAAGGCAAGCTCTTGGACCCTAAGAACAGATAAAAATGTGATGATAAAAATTCTAAAAAGATTTTTTTATGTATCTATCTCTGTATATTTCTATATGTATATTCTAATTGTTTTTAAATGAGCTCCTCAAACATTAAATAAGTTCATATAAGATGCTTAATACTATTCCAGTTTCAGAACAACCATTTAATAAGTTTTGGATATGTTATTTTTAATCATTGTTATCATGGTTGTTCTTGGTATTGGTGATGGTGGTGTTTTCCATGTGCTATCAAGGCATCTAATCTCATTATTTATCTTTGTAGTATTTGTGTTTGGAATAGTTTGAGTGTACCAGTGCATGCTGTTAGAAGACAGATATATTATGTCTACTTCAGTTCAATATGTCATGAAAGCCTTTCTGTAATTTTTCTAGACTATATAATTTGTTCCTGTCAAAAACTAATAAATGTCAAAAATTAATTAGTTGTGATTGAACAATCTGGCTATCATTTATGTGAAAAATAAAATGCACATTTAAAATAGTAATTTATATATAGTTATTCAGTAAGTAGAGTAAAAGCTCATAAATTAACTACCTTGCACTTCTAATACTAATAAATGAACTGAATAAAAATAGCTAACATAACAAAATATATCAATGGTAGAAACTTCATGTTTTGTAAATCGGTTACGTTAAAAGTCTCTTCATAAATGAGACAAGATAAACTTGTACAGAAAAGTCCTGAACACTCCTCTTGCACTTGGTAGTTTCTGAGTTTTTTACTTATTTGTTTTCATTTTCTTTTATGTTTTTTTCCTAAGAGCTTTGCTTTAAATATTTTGATATATGCAATGTGCTTAAATATATATGTTATATGTGTTTTATATATATATATATATTATGAAGTCAGTCTCCTTTCTACCCAGTTTCCTGAGAAAAAGCCTCAGGATTGAGAATAGGCCTAATGTGTACAGTGATTTTATTTTTTATTGTTATCATACATACCCTCTAGGTAGCTTCAGCTTGTACTTATAAAAAGCCCCATGGAGCTCTTTTGTACTGTAAGATGTACATGTTGGACAGAAATTACTTGGTAAGGCTGCCATGTCTAGTCATTGACTGGGGTTGCCCTGGAAAAGCCCAGCCTTGGCAGAAATGTTGTAGCAGATCCCAAAGGTGCTTCAGCTGGAAGCAATCAGTGAACTGCATTCCTAATGGCAGATTCCATCTGAAAAGGAAACCCTAGGTACTTACTTACATGTGACAACTTCTAGGTTGTCACAGTGGGTAAGAAAGGGTTCATCTACAGTGCCTGACATTTTACATAGATCAAAGTATATCAGTAGCCTGTCTTACAGCTTAAAGGTTTCAAGGAGACGAATTGTTACTCTCCCAGGATAACAGCTAAAAGACCCCTCTGAACAGAGAGTTATTCATTGTCCTCTTAAATTCTGCAACTCCGAAATTGATATCCCCAGCGAGTCTAGGTTATGTGCTATATTACTACTCAGGACTAATGTTAAAAAAAAAAAAAAAGTGCTGCAAACTGGGTGACTTAAAACAAGAAAAAAATTATTCTCTGAGAGTTCTGGAAACTAATAGTTCAAAATCAAGGTGCAGGTTGCCACTGTTCCTACTGAACATGGGGGGCATGTTTTCTTGTCTCTCTCAACTTCTAGTAGCCTCAGGCGTTCCATAGCTTGGGGAAGATTCCTCGGTTCCAAGCGCCACCTCTTTGTTCACATGGGCTCTTTCTCTCTGTGTGTCTCTGCATTTGCTTCTTTTCTTATAAGGGCACTAGTCAACCTCATCTGAACTTGATTCCATCTGCAAGAACCCCGTTTCCAAAGATCATTCTGAGGTACAAGGGGTCAGGAATTCAACATGTCTTTTGCATGGACACAGCCTAACCCACAATAGAGGTCTTTTTTTTTTTTTTTCCAAATAGATGTTTTAATCAACATGCTGATGTCTCTCCAAATGACAGATCTGGAGGTGACTTTTATTTTTCTGCCTCCTACACAAAATAGAAATCAGTTATTTCCGTTGTCTTCCCAGTCGGATGTAAAAATGCAATCCCTTCCTTCTTCATCCTTGGGTAGAGGCATGAGATCTTTGATGGAGCAGTTGTCTTGTGAGCATGAGATTAGAAGCCGGAATTGAAAAGTCACATGTTAAGAATTATGAAGGCCCTCCTGGTGGCGCAGCGGGTTAAAGTACTGCACTGAGAAGCTAAAGCCACTTCCGCATGAGTTGGATTCCCGCTTGCCCTGGAGTTGACCACAATTGTGGCAGACCTCTCCTGACCCGCCCGCTGCTCCCCTCAGCAGTGTACTTCATTGTTCTGCTCCCCACTCTGTCTCTGGTGAATCCTCTCACCCTCCGCACCTCTGGCCTGTACCCCAGTTCTGTATGTACAAATAAATAAATCTTAAAAAAAAAAAAAGAATTATGAAGCAGATCTAGCAGAGACATTTTATGAGGTGGAGTGGGGAATGGAATCAAAGAACAGTGGGGGGAGGGAAAGGCACTGGACTGTGGTGATGGCACAGGGATGATTTGGTGATGGAAAGCCCATGGGGATTACAACTGAAGTGGAGAAAAGCACAAAATGATGTAAAAATAGACTATTATATTATTTTAAAAAAGAATTATGAAGTGGGTCCACCCTGGTGTCGCAATGGGTTAGGATGCAGCATTGCAAGCTGGCCACAGCCATCTCAGTGTGAGTTCCATCCCGGGCCTCAAAGATGATTCACAAAGCACAGCAGACCTCTCCTGACCTGCCCACTGCTCCCCTCAGCAGTGTACTTGCAGGATCTGCCTATTCTGCTCCCCACTCCATCTCTGGCAAAGTCTCTCACCGCCTCTGCACCCCTAGTTGGCACCCCAATTCTGTATGAATGAATAAATAAATAAATCTTTTTTAAAAATTATGAAGCAGGAAAATAGGAAGAACTGGAAACACTGAAATCACATTGCTAGACTGCAAACTTGTATTTCCTAACTAAGACCTGTAGTCAGAACAAAAATTGCCAAGGTCAAGAACAAAATGAGAGTCACTACTAAAGTTCAAAAGAAAGTAAAAGAATAACAAATAAAAATAATGAATAAAATTGTCAACAGAGGAAATATTTCAATGAAAGGAGCAAACTTTTTAATGAGTTCAATTCCAAAATAAGCATCAGAATAAAGAGGCCCAAATAGTGTCACCTTAGGAAGTATCACCTTTTTGCAAGCTAACAAGCTAGTAACCACAGTTTCAAGATTACTAACAGAAAATACAGAATTCCTGGGGCAGGGACAAAGGAAAGTATTGAAGATTTTAAAAACATGCTTTTCTTATTAGAGATATATAAATGCATCACTTAAGAAATCAATCTTAAAAGCATGAAATAGAAATAAAGTTGTTTCTAGAACTGCACCTAAAAGAACATATTTTTAAAGATGCTTCCGTTAAAAGAAAAAAAAAGAAAAGAACAGAAACAAAAAAAAGAACCTGACAAACCAAAAGGGGAAGGGGGGTTGGGAGTAGGGGAAGAAAAAACCCAACCAAACATAGTGAAGGATTATTGGTACAAGGTATGGCAATGTAGACCTATAGCCCCCAAAGCAGATACAACTGTGCAAAACACTTGACTGCAATAAATATAATTTGAAAAAGAATTAAATTAAGAACAAATGAACTAAAATGTTCAGAGGAATAAGCAGAATTACTGCTTAAAGTACCATTTCCTTTGATTTGAGGAAGTATGCTCATTTTCTTCTCAGAAATGAGAAATGGCACTAAAATGTGTAGTAGGTACTTGAACAGTGTAAACATTGAATATTTGATGAAGAACTCATTTCTGTCAGATTACATTATCTACTCTTTATATTTTATATTCCTACCATTACTGACCTCTAAACAAAGCAATCCATAATACTGTAACAGGGTGGTCCCTAGGAAAAGGGGAATTTCCAGGTTCATTGCCCCACCCAGAAGGAGGGTGGAGCTGAGCAGATAAAAAAGGAGAGAAGAAGGAGACCTGAGGAAGCCACATGGAGCCACAAGCATGTGATGAAGAAACCGGGCTTGTTTCCTGACCCTGGACTGGTGAAGGCAGATGTGGGTGAGATACCTGTAGGGAGGTGACTATGGCAGTGTTTGTATTGATTTTGATTTTGCTCTTTTCCTCCCAGACTTGTCTGGCCATTTCTGACCCTTTTCCATGGGTCCCGGCCAGAAGGTGCTTTAGTCTTGTGGCAGCTTTCAGTCCTTGCTTTAGGCCAATCCCTTTTGGGTTGACTTTTGTCCACGAGGGGATGGGTAGCTTCAGGTGTTTGATTTAGAAGTTACATTCTTTGTGCTCCGTATTGTATATTCACTGTATTAAAGTCCCTTTTCATTAAAGTTTTATATGTTTTGTCTTGTTGCGGCAGATGGCAGAACCCACGTAGAGCAGGCAGGTTTTGGGGGCTCCAGGAGTGCACCTCTCCCCCTGTCCTGGAACAGATTTGGGGAGCCCTATAACAGATTCTGTCCTCTTACAGATTTGGGGTGCCCTATAACAATACCACCAACAGAAAGTGGTGTTATTCAGAAAGAACTGTCTCAGAAAGTATAGGAAGCCACATGTGCACCCCTGCCCCCACTGAGAAGCCAACACACCCTCCTACAGCCTCTGTAGATGACTGTGCCAATGGCACCTCAGACATCTTTCTGCTGGGCTAGCGAAGTAGCAGTGCTTCCTCATGGGGATGCCTGGAATACCGCCTGCTGTAGTTTGTTAATTGTGCATGGGTAGGAATTCTTTTTTGGCTTCCTGACATCATTTAAAGATCATTTAAAGAGGTTTTCTGCATGTCAG